CGAATTAGTAGTTTCTGAGATTAGTGCGTTCAAACAAACAAACTCTGTCTCTTTATAATATTAGTATAGATTAAAGTAAAAAGTGAATAAAATGCATATATTAAAATAAAGAGATTTGGAAGTGTTGTTTTTAATATACGTATGTATGTCGTATAATTTTATTTAAAAGCTTGTAATTTGAAGTCCACACTAAGTGTGGAAAAATAACTTGGAAGTAATTATGTAGTCGAAGTAGGATGTGGTATTTTGGACCAAGTTGTCTGTTATGCCTAAAGACGGTCAGGTCAAACTAAAGGCGATTCTCCTAAACGTGTGTTATGAAAATGATTACATTGAAAGAATGAAAGCGATGTGTAGAATTCGCTACTCTATTACATACATACATACACCTATCATGAAATTATGTATATAAAAAGCTAATGAAAAAGTTTTTTTAAGTAAGCTAAACGTAAAATTTTCTACAAACGGGATTAATATAACAATTTCTATCGATTTATTGGATACGTGTTTTTTAAAAATCATTTTTTTGTTTTTGTGGGGTGACACTATATTATTACCAACGTCCATTTATATTACGTTATACTGCCATACAAAGGTCTTTAAATATTCTCAATTTAAATGTTCAGAGAGATAAGCATTGGTAACAGTTTAAACGTGCGGTTTGCAAGCTCTTTCAAGATAGTAAAGCTAATTTCCGCTCACTGTTAAGGCGCTTTTCTTTAACAGCTACGAGCGAATTTACTTAGAATTATCGTACGGCGATGTTACCTATCTTTTCATAGCGTGTTAACGACCCACTCATAGATATGTAGACTAATAATAAGCTTTTTTTTCTCTAGTGCCTTAATGTTGTGTTAAGAGACGCAATATGTACATTCTGCCAGCGTCTAGTATTGTGAGGAAGATACGAATGAGTTTGAGCGGTAATTTTGAAATTTAGCAGCTTTATCGTGGAATTTATACTATAAATGAATGATCGGTCCACAGGAGCAAATAATAAGTTAATTTAACGATATAATAGCCTATGACAGTTTATATTCATACATAAATGACCACTAACAAGTGCTTAAATAACGAAGTTCAAAAATTAATAAGTAGGTCCGCTACTATATACTCCTAAAAAATTTCATGTAACAAAAATTGAACTTCCTTTACATATAGTATAAATATGTTTTCACTATCTATATAGTTGAATATATAACATTTTCTGGAATATTTTTTAAAAATACGATCAAAGCTTTCTACTGACTCATCGACTCTCCGCCCCGCCCTTTCGATGTCGATGCTGAAAGACTCAACTACTCAACCTATATGTGTATGTTGCAAAAACCCTCCCTAAGAATGTAAGCTACATTTTTAAGAAATCTAAACACAGTGCTTCATTATTTAGAAAGATGAAACCAAATATTTCTTAAAAGCTAACAGATTTTTAAGGTATAACAAGTGCTCATTTTCAATGGAGCTCAAAACATTAAATAAAATTTGAAAATGTAAATTAAGTAAATGACAAACTTATTCCGATTAATCTCTTTTCCGTATGGCCCAGACCAAACTAGTCTAGCTTAACGAGAAGAAGGTACACCTATATGTCACAAAAATTGCTTAAAAAGGTTTTTTTAAAAAACCCCCAAAGCAGCGAAAAATGGTTGCAAAGTTAGCGAGGGCCTTGTTAATGTCTTTTAAAATATTAATAAGATATACATCTAGCACAAAGATGTTTCTCTGTAATAATTCAGATACATCACTTTTTATAACTTTAAAACTATTAAACTAATACGTTCATATTGTTATTTAATATTGAACTATTTATAAACGTACATTTTGACACTAAAATCTATAAATAATACTTATTTCTTGTAATCTATTCTAATTCTAAATTCAATTTTGAGTATCGCCACATCTCTGTACGGAAGCAAAGCAAGAAGCGCAACGAGTCACAGCGTACTCTATAAAAAAGCTACAGAAATAGATAAAATTTAAAAATATCACCTATTGATGCCATAACAACCAATTTGGCCCAGTACACAGCTTTTTCTCTTTTTAGTGCTACATCCTCATTAACTTATTTCACGACTTTGTTAGTGAAAGACGGTTTTTCTCGTTAAAAATCCGAAATAATTTATCAAAACGTTTACACTATACATATGGCATCCGTTACTATTGTATTACGTTTAGATTAAGGTCTAAATAAAAACCTAAGACCCACTTCCCTCAAACCTGTATCAGGTGTGAGTGAAACACTTAATTCGAGGATAAAATTCTCGTTGACATTTTACGCTGATATGGGTTTACGGTATTCCAATTATTATCGGATTCCTAAACCCCATAAAATATTATGACATAAACGATGGAATTTTACTTATTTGAGGCCCGAAAACAATGAATGGCTATTTAAAATTAGTGATGCAAATGTAAAATAATTGATTAAATTTTAATGTCTGTTCGTAATTCAGTTGGGATTCTGGCTGGTCTATTTTTTGCAATATGACAGGTATTGCAAATATAGATCAATTTATTAGTTTTTAAGTTAATTCATCTTCAGAAAACTTCAGACAGACAAAAATTATAAATAACACTCTGTGTTTTTCCAGGATAATCGTAAAATACCAAGCAATTAGGACATTATCACACATATCTTCATCTTCACTAAATTAAAGTAATTGTGATTTACAAAATGTGTGGTATCTACCACACATTGAGCTCGGTATACGCTACCAAAAAAGTTTGTCTGTTCATACTCACTAAACTCCGTAATGGCTTTCCACTTTTCATCTTTCAATGACCGATATATAGGATTCGGGAGATATCTTCAGGAGTATAAAGTGCAAGAGCTTATGGGGTTTTAACAAATATTTGTAATCATTTTGCATGCTCTCTCCGTTGGACGTAGTATGAAGTAAACATTTAATTTTCACTAGTAACAAAAGTTAAATTATCTTTTTAAATAAACAAAACGTAATGAGCAGTAAAATCTCATAAAAAATATATATCAAACATATCAGTCGAAACAAAAACAAAAATACAATTTGAATTAATGGACGCTTGTTCGTTTTTCTGGTTACAGCCGAGCGCATTCGCCCGAAAATCTATTCATCATTTAATTTACATTTGGGTAGGAAAAAATTGCTGGGCGTTCAAAATGTATTGAAAATTCAAAGAAAATCTATTTTCAATTTAACTTTCTATTTTGTTGCAGCATGTAGGACGTACGCATTAAATGTACATCATAAAGCATAAATCGATTTTGTGGTAAATTAAGAATGTGTGACAGCTGCTCTGATCTAAATTATGTCTGTTCAAATTCACATCGATCCACTTAAGAATGAAAAAGGACAAACCATAAAACTATAAACACAGTTTCCAATTCGACCAATTTTAAGGCATTCAAAGGTAAGAGCGGGATTTTGATGTACAATGAATTCTGTAGTCAAATTATAAAAAATAAAAAAAGATTGGCACTCCATACATGTGTTTGAGGGTATTCTGAAAAAAATTAAAATACTTTAAACTTCCAAAATACTCATATGGAAAATTATTTTGAAGAAGATACGTTTTGTAGATTTTGAGATATTTCTTATACGCCTTAGTAGTTCAATCCAACCTAGGTATTGCGCCTTATCTCTCACTGGTTTAAGGGTCCAGTTATTATTTGGAAATTAAGAAAGTGGACTTGTGTTTGCGCCCATACTTGTACACTTGTGCATTAGAATGTCTCCTATGAAGATGGTATGTATCCTGACAAAAATTGGCCACCGCAACCGATATTGATTATTGGTTAGGAAGCTTAACTGCGATACATTACATTTTCGATTCTGAGGAGTTTCACGGTATGTCTTCGAAGTCCCAAGTCCAATAACACTTTGAAGCTATACTTAAATCAACGCAAAAGGTATTATAAATATTGGTTCATATACAAAAAAGACGTGTGTGTGTACTTGCGTACGCACGTAAGAAGTTTTACTTCTTTGGCGTAACAGAACAAAAATAGCTAAAGATTTCATCCCCTATGTCACAACTCTCTGTTTGGAAAAGGAATGCAGCTAACTTCATCATGTCGCTTTATGGCTGTCGATGTGCGTATGCAACGTAAAAATTTTACTCTCATAATTTTTTCCTAACGTGCCAAAAGAAGTATAATATATAATAGCTTCAAAAATTCCATATAATAATTTGTAGAAGAAAATTGAGATATTCTCCTTATTTAACGTCGGTTAGCAAATACGAGTATATTTGCATGTAGCGAGACAAATTTACAATAGAATTAAATAATGTTTTCTCTTATTTGCTCAATCATTTGCTCAATTGTTTCGGTTGGAAAATATTACAACATCGATTAATTTATTGATGCTATCTACTGGCTTTGCTTGCTTTTATTATTTGCTTCGATACGTCCACTATACGTGACCCCTTATTTAATATGTGAACGGGTAAAAGTAGCTAAAAATCTTACACTGAACTACATAGTTAAAATTAAAATATTTAATCCAATTTACATTGTCTAAATCTCTACTTCGTATAATTAATTATAAGTAGAGTAAAATATGAATGGACGAACCGCCAATCATTACATAGACTTTAACATTCATTAATTATAAACTCTAATGCTACAAGAATATTACACATATAACTAGTAGGTTCCTAAGATTAGCGCGTTACAAACATACAAACTCTTCAAGCTTTATAATACTGGTAAAAACGTGAACAAGTTAATCGAAATTGAAAAACAAATATTTAATATATTATTACTATTAGAGGCACATTAAAGACTCAAATTACTCAATAAATAATTTTATGCATTATTTATAAAACTGTAAATAATGCGTAATTAAAAATAACTTGTTCTATAGAAATACTTTCTTCATACTCGTATGTGCCAAGTTTTCCCTAAAATCTACACTTCTTTTATTGTAAGACTCCATTTCCATTAATTAGCTTTGCATACATTTGGAAGTCTTCAACAACATTATTCTGTTCATAATTTGATTAACCGTGTTGTAAAAATGAAACATATTCTTTTGAATATAATACTTGTATTTTTCTTTATGGTAAGTGTAAAAAAATAATTATCTATGAATGCCGCAGTGATTTCACAATCATATATTTTATTTTTTGTGTTTCTTTGGTGGATAATTTCATCAAATCTATCTATCCGTCTGTCCATATATTACAGCCATTTTTAACCGACTTCCAAAAAGGAGGAGGTCATCAATTCGTCGGAATCTTTTTTTTATGTATGTTCACCGAGTACTCGAAGACACTTGAACTGATTTCAATTTTTTTTTTGCTTCAAAGGGTATACTTCCCAGGTGGCCCCATATAAATTTTATCAAAATCGGTCAAGCGTTAAAAAATCAACAATATTTTTTTTTAAATGAATTGTTTAATTGAATATGTTTTTAAAAACTTTCTTCTTACAAATTACCTGATTATTATGTCTACTCTAAAAATGGATTATTAAAAACTTGAAAAAAACCGACTTCCAGGCACTAAAATGTAAAAAATAACTAAACGGGGGTTTTCATTTAGAATAGATACCTAATCAGATATTTTCGACGTCTGTGCCAGCCGACAATATTTTCAGATATATATATATATATATATATATATATATATATATATATATATGCGCCAGTGCCAGCCGACAATATTTTCAGATATATATATAGCTTATTCTAAAGCTATATATATAGCTAAATATGTATATATATAAATTTGCTTTGCATCGGTTGGCTACCAATCAGTTATTTTTTTACGTCTGTTTTTATTTTTTTGTTAAAAGTTTTTATTTAACAATATTACTAATTGTGAAAAATCCGTGAAATTACCTATGCGTGTATTATAGATTCATCACAGTACAACAGAAGAAAATGCTCGAAGCGGAGAAAGTTACAACTTGGAAGATTCTACAATTTTATACCCTTTAAGATACCATGTACCAAACTCAGAAAAACCATATGAAGCAGACACAACGAGCAATTATGACGCAGAAGCAAATGCGAGTAATGATAAAAGTTCCTTTCATGATAGACTAAAAGACCTACCATATAAAGTAGTCATGCAGTTAGTAAGTAAGTATCCAAAATTAATTAAAACATTATTATTATAACCTTGAATGAATATATTATTATAAATTATTCTTCATATGAGTTATTCATTGGATAGAAATTCTGTAACATGAAAAACACCCCCTTTATAAAAATACGTCTAGTTATTAAGGATTTTCCGTAACGTGAGTAACGTAACGTAACTAACGACACAGAGAGAGACGAAAACTTAAAAAATTATGGATTTAGTTCTGTACGTATTGATAATTAAGAGTATCCAGAACTGTACTCAGAATCCCCATTTTGTTTATATTAAACTAGTAAACAATGCGATGCAGTGATTAGTTGCTTTCCGTGAGTTCACACGTAACTCACTTTCATAGCTTTTTATTGTTGCAATTTGCTGCAAATGAGACAGCATCATTTTGTATGATAATTAAATATGGACTTTCGACTCCAGGATAGGACTTATCGTTGAGATCACAATTTGGAAGCGATAAAACTCAAAACAGCGTCAAACCACACCTACTGATATAGCACGCAGTCTGAATTGCGATGGTGCCATAACAGAACTCGTATCCGAAAGTACCATTCAACAAAACCAAAGCCAAGTGTATTTGATGCTAGCCAGCATAAGAAAGAGACAATTTTATATTTAATAATATCTACTAGAATATTATATTTTTTCATGACGACTTTTATTTTAATCGTATTACGTACTAATTTCACACTTTCATTTCACCCCATTTCAAGTTGTATTTTCACGACAAAAAGTAGCATATGTACTTTTCCGAGGTCCCATTTATCATCTCTGTACCAAAATTTATCAAAACTGGTTCAGCAGTTTGTGTGAGAAGTCAGTTACTACAGTCAGGCAGTTACTTTCGCATCCTACTAATATTATAAAGACAAACGTTTATGAGGATGTATGGATGTCTGAATGTATAGATGTACGGATGTTTGTTACTCTTAATAATATAGTTTCAGAATATTAGTATGCATTAAAAGAGGTTAAATGTTAATGTTATTTTTGTTAAATTTTCATTTATTTTTATATTAACTTATTTTGCATAATACTGTAATCTTTTTAATTTATTTACATTTTTTAATATTTTCAGACAGTGGACAAGAAATAGGCAAAGGCGTACAGAAAACGTATCAAGGAAAATATTTAGAGGGAACTATACAATCCTTTGGTGGAATAAACGGCCTATTCAAAGACAGCTTAACCAATACTCGACGCTTGATATTCGGCGACAACTGAAACGTTTATTTGCACAAATAAACAACTTACCAACAATCTCCAAATTTTCTAACAATGTGAACCTTTAAAACGTTGATTAATACATACAAATATCACTAGACCAATCATAATGTTTCTAATTTTTAAACCACATAAGTGTCTAATTTAATGTATATTAGATTTAATACTCGATAAAAAATTGTAATTATTATGATTACACACTAACATCCTTCGAGATGATTGTTTTTGCATTACAAACAAAAAATACTATAGTGCTATATCTACATCTGTACAGACAGATAGACATCGTATCGTCCCTCCGCCCACGACCTAACTAGCTACGAGTTCGCGAATTTTACTTTAACTCATCTATTAAAAACGTTTCTTTATAAAACATAAATTTTCCATATATTATTATAACCCATAGGTTACACACGACGGATATTAAAAATATTCTATATTACGCTTTAATATTGTGGGTTTTTGAAATTTTTCATTTGAAGTTTTTTTTCATGTCATAATTTTCCGTCGTGCGTTTTAAATTTTTAATGTATGACTTATTTATGGATTTTTTGAATTTGAATAGTAAATACAATACATTTATTTAAATAAAATAACCGTTTTGGAGAAACATGTGTACTTATATTGTAACGCCCCCTCGCGGTCTGTAACATTATAAAAGATTAAATTAATAAATAAGATTAAATGAATAACTTACTGAAATAACTATTTAAAATTCTACTTAAAATATCTAAACAAGAAGCCAGAAGACATAACTGGCTTGGAATGTTTTCAAATCTCCCAAGTTATCACATTACATTTTCAACTAAAGTTATAGCACTTTATGTATTTAATTACATATTGTAATTTATTTTAATTGGATATATCTATGTAATATTATATACATAGTATGTTCTCTTTTAGGAATAAAAAAAAGTTTTTTTCTTATATACGTATTAAATATTAATACTCTTTCATTATAATTTTATATTTACAAACAACTCAAGGTAATTAAGGCAATGGTAGCACAGTGGTAACGCGCTAGTTTGGCAAACCGAGTGAAGCGGGTTCAAATCCCGCTTCTCGCACCTCTGATATTTTCATGTGCGAATCATTTCTCCCATGATTACCACTTGCCTTACGGTCAAGGAAAAACGTCGTTAGGAAAGCTGCATGTCTGAAAGAACATAGCAAGTTTTCGAAAGACATGTGAAGTCCACCAACCCGCACTTGGCCAGCGTGGTGGAGTATGGCCTGATCCCCCTCATATTGAAGGCAGGCCCGTGCCCAGCAGTGGGACGATAAAAAGGGCTGAATACATACAAGTCAAGATACAATAGTTTTAACATTACCTCCTGAAAGGCTGATGTTGATGTGGATTGGCATTGTGGAGTAGAAATGATTGATACATAAAAGTATATACAAATGTATGTATGTTTTTTACACTTAAACTAAAAATAATAAAATTTTATATCAAATAGTTTTTATTGAGTACTTAAATCATTTTAATATTTTATCTTAATCTTTAAAATTTAAAAATAAAAACTAAAAAAATTATAACCGCTACTCTTAAATCAATCAATGCAAAGGTAACAAATTAAGAGTATTGTTAGTTTAAATTTTAAACTAAATCGCTAGACTAAAGCGCCATAAAGGTATTTATACTATAATCTATACTATATAATATTATAAAGAGGTAAAGTTTGTGAGATTTTGAGTGTGTATGTTTGTAAAGTTGTTGGGGGTAATCTCTAGATCTACTGAACAGATGAAGATGAAATTTAGTAAAAAGATAGTTTGAAACTCTGGGAAGGACATAGGCTACTTTTTATCCCGAAAATCATCCCTTAAAGGGGTGAAAATGGAGATGAAAGTTTGTATGGGGAATCAAGCTTGTATAGGGACAAACCCGAGCGACGCGAGGGTGAGTCGCTAGTATAATATATGGTCTATATAGATTCTATCTATTCCATACTAACTATAATCTGGTAATGAACAGTGTCTAGAGACACTGTAGACACTCTAGACAGTATCTTCATAAAAACGTAATTCATGACACGTAACAGATGTGCATATGCAAAGCGGGGCATGTAATGTTACTCACAGAAAGCCTATTATATTTTGAGCCGACCTCATTAACGTAGCGTCATATGCTTTACTTGGACGATATTAAACAGAATGTGTCAGTTTTTCCTAATATTCACGTTGTAGTCATATTGTTGTTATATTTTATGCTGCAGTTAGTCTGTTTTGATTTTGATTCTAAGCTGCATTATTAAAACGACATGTGAAAAAATACTTAGATAATTTTTATTACGGAGATATATATAATAAATAAATATATATATATATATATATATATATATATATATATAACAGAGTGCGACAAAATAAAAGAAAGCTTAATAGCATAGTAAACGTAATAGTAACGTAGAGTAAGTTCTAAACGTTTAAAAAAATATATAATTATTATAATTAAATATAGCGGTATTATTATTTTTTAAATGTTTAGAAATAAAAATCTAAGAAAGTATTATCTATTACTTATTCTAAACTAATTTTTGATTGCAGCTTTAGCAAACACACTCAAAAATCAATATAAAAGTAGGTACTATGTGGAAGTTAAACTAATCTTACAATGACGCAGTTACTAGATTAGCAAAACCATTAGATTGGCATAAATATATTTCATATATTATTACTAGCGACTAACTCTCGCTTTGCTCGGGTTGGTCCCTAGGTTGATTCTTCATACAAACTTTCATCCCCATTTTTACCCCTTTAAAGAATGATTTCCGAAATAAAAATATCCTATGTCCTTCCCAGGGTTATCTTCTTATCAAATTTCATCTAAATCGGTCCAGTAGTTTTTGAGTTTACTCGTTACAAACATACAAAAATACAAATCTTTCCTCTTTATAATAGTAAGTGTAGATCTATATTACGTACTAAATAAACTCTCTACATAGTGATTAAATAAATATAAATTTTCTCTTACGAATGCATATTTAACACAATACCGTTGTTATTTCTAAGAAATTTTAAACTCAATGAAGAATCGGTTTCAAATTTTAATAATACACATATTATTGTTCTTAATTATCAAAACATTTTAACTCCCCCGACCTTTTGTAATTAAAATATGGCGAGAAATTAAGATAAAATAATCTCCTCGCATAATAATCCGCAGTGATGGTGTAATTTTGAACAGAAATAATTAACTGTAATGTTATTTTAGCCGCTCACGTACGCGTTTAGAAATATAAAATGATTTCTATGATAAAATTATCTTATGTTGCCAGTATCTTGGATGTCAGTAATTATAAATGATAAATTAAAAAAAATATGTAATAGGTATTTGACTTAAAATCAAATACTTAAAAATATTAAAAGTATTATTAGTACACACATGTATTGTTTCTGTGTATTTAGGTCTTTTTAACGTCCCACTAATGAGCCTTTGCTCAGAGGCCTTTGCCTCCCTTCAGTCAGGCCAAAGTCCACCACGCAGGCCAAGTGCGAGTTGATGGATTTCACATGTTATTCGAAAACTTGTAAGGTTTTTTTCAGAGAGTCAGGTTTCTCCAAGTGGTGGCATATTAAAATGGTAGGTACATGAGATTATCATTGTGTGAGACCCGGGATTTCAACCCGGTTCTCTCGGTTTGCCAAGCAAGCGCGTTATTACTGGGATAATACTGCCGATAGTTTATTATTTCAATAATAATATGCTTACGTTACATAGTATATATTACATGCTGTACAGGTCAATTGCGAATCGATATTTATGATATCTTTTTTTTTAAATAATTTATACCTTAATTTATTTTTAGTTTAAAGTAATTATTAGCCTACAAATGATTGAGGGTTAGAGAAAAACATAGGGTATTTTTATCGAGTTACATCAATTGGCTCCTGGAATGCTGAGAAATTGGAAACTTTTGATTCTCTCTGTTCATTTTACAAAGAAGAAGCCATAAAGTTGTACTTAAAAAATATAAGTTTTTAAAGCAAAAACTTACACACATATAAATTCATGTTTATTCTGTAATATCAAGAAAATCGAACCCATTACCTTCAGTTTAAGCATAAGCCCTTATAATATTATCCATTCGCTAATCATAGCTACAACTTACAAGTGGAACAAATGGGAAATAAAACACGATTTCAGAATAACAAATTATAGTTAATTCATTGAGAATCTCTAATTGATTTTTCTCGACGACTATACGAAGGTAATCCTATAAGAAAGTTTGGTTCTCTCTCGCATAATGAAGTCAAAAACTTGGTTTGGCAAGCGCGGTTTCGCACTTCTAATTGCAATGCGAATCTATTACGTGGGATTTACGCGAGGAATATTATAATTAGATATCAGCTTAGCCGGTTTTAGACTTCATTATTATATTGTTTTTATTTATATTTAAGTAAGAATGCGTTGTATTTGTACATTTCTAAAATATGATAGCTACAAACATTACAAAATATGGTGGCCAAAGCCCCCTTCTAAGGACTCTCTCTCTCTCTCTAGATACAATAAACATTTTTTATTAAATATTCATATTTTTTAGGGACATGAAGTCATAGCGCCATGTAGCTCCATGGTTAGCTACGAGGCTTGTATTATGGATACCAGATAGTTGATACACTACACAAATATAACTTTAAATAATAATAAAAATACTGTGTACTAGCCAGCGTGACTCGAACCCGCGACCGCTGGCACAGCAAGTAGGGCACTACAAACTGAGCCAAACATGTCGTCATATTTATTTATACTGCACATATTTATCTAACTCTACTTGACGTAAAACGAGAATAGTTATCGGTCACGAAAAGGCACAACATAGTAAAGTCTCATATCTGTGTTTAATGTTTATATATTCTATCTATTCCATACTAACCTTTAAAACGTACCTAGGGATGAACCCGAGCAAAGCGTGAGTGAGTTGCTAGTTTATAATATTATAAGAATTGAAACAATCTCAGCTCATAATATGACATTTATCGTAGGAGTATGA